TTGAGGCTCTGTTGTGAGCAAGCTGGCTGACCCCTCGGGATCGCATCTTCATATGACTTACTGGCAGGGGCCGTGACCCAGATTGTGGATGGCATGGATGGCATGGATCACAGGATCGAGGCTACGATGACGGTCAAGAGGTGGTCTGTGGGCTCATTGCCTGTATCCTACTTCGTGCAGGATTTCTCAGACATTTCAATGTGTACATGTGACACGAAATAGCTTAGAGGAGCTGAAATGTACCTTATCTTCGGCCAGGAGTCACAATTAGTACTGAATACGGCTTGGTGGCCCCTTTGCCATTGGTGCTGGTTTCTGAGTCACGACAGTGCCAATGAGCTGTCTCCACCTTCCGTTGGTTGGCGTGGGTAGACTCGAGCGACTCTCATGATCCTAGGGTTACATTGTCTTTATCAAACCTATCAGACTCTGACAGGTTCTTTCAAACTCGAGATGAAAGTTTTCTTGACCGCAGGAGTCGAAGACTAGGCACTGCAGCTTGAGTCGGGGTTCGTAGCGGATCGCGTGGTCCAAACGCCGCTTATAATGTGGAGGCGTTGACGGGCTTCGGAGACGTCCGGCGCTCGCTCAGGCCTTCTGTCGAACACGAGATCTTGAATTGAGAGGCGAGGACAACAAATTAACGGATGGTTTGATGGTACGCTCAAAGAATAGATAGACTACACGAGAAGACGAGAAGCGATGTCACGATGCCAGACGGTGTAATCAACCGTTGGCGATCTCCTCTTCCTCATCTTCCCACTCGCCGTTCTCCTCGGCCTTCTCGTTGACCTGCATCTCGCCATCACCCTCGAGGCCCTCGCTATCAAACTCGTAGTCATCATAATCTTCCATGTCCTCGTCCTCATCCTCATCCTCATCATCACCTCCGGCCCCGCCATTGGCCTTCTTAGCCGCCTTCTTGCTCTCAATATTGGCTTTTTGCTCCTTGCGCCGGGCCTCTTTGTCAGCTTTCCTCTTCTCCCAACGTTGATCGAGCTCCTGCTCCTCAGCGCGGCTCTTTTGCACATATTCATGCCACATCGGCTTGCCAGAGCACAAACCCTCCTCCACCTTGGTCAGTCGCAGGCGCATCCTCGGCCCGAGCTCAACAAGCTTAACAGCACGGCGCTCGACGCCCTCGTCGTTGTCTTCTTGGTCCTCGAAATCGTCGGCCGCAGTCGCCGCCGTCGCCGGTTTGGGCTTGCCGGCAGAAAGTTTCTTGGGGTTCCGTTCGAGTACCTCAATCTCGGCGTCTGTGTCGACTTCGCTGCCGCTCGTGCCGCCATCCGTCATGTAGCCGTTGCCGTGATCGCCGCCAATCATGTAATCGGCAATGTCCTCAAGCTTGCCGAGATTGGGCACGCCGCCCTTCTGGCGGGTGCCGCCTGTCTTGCCGGCCACGAGCCTCTCGGCGGCGTTGAGGCGCTTCAGCGGCTTGGACAGGCCAGTAGCGCGTGTTGTGATGGCGTAGTGACGGAAATTAAGGATGAAGCAGCCCTCATTCTCCGGGTCGATCTCTCGGTTCAATAGGAGGACACGGCGGATGGTTTTGAGGGAGGTCGACTGCGGGTTGATGGGGGGAAATAGGGACTGGAACACGGTCGTGGCAAGGGATTCGAGGTGCTTGGGAACGGCCGACTTGGAGGTGGCGTTAGGAGCGGAGAAGTTGTTCATGACGAGCTGGCTCAATTAGCTGGGGTGCGCTGATGCTGCGCAAGGGCAGAGGGGATGAAAGACTCACCAGAGGCGGTGTGACAGCGTCGTTGCCAAAGCCTTTGGGATGCCTCTGCGCGCGCTGGACATCCTTGCAGAGGGAATACTGTTCGACGCGAAAGTGCATTGTCGGACCGCGCGGCGTAAGGCCGATGCGCAGGTTGGTGTTGCCGCTCTCTGACCTTGAGAAGAGGAGGAAATGGGTGACGCCAAGGGGTCCAGCCATGACGATGTAGTCCTTGAGTTTGTTGGAGCGACGCTCCTTGAGGCGTGACGCGGTTCCAGGTTCCATGACCTTGCGGACGTCGGCAGCCAGCTGGGAGACGCTGGAGCCAACCTCACCCGCACCGATACGGATGACCATGGACTTGGGGTCGCTGATGGTAGCATGGCCCGGCGCGGCTGTCTCGGGGTTATTGGCGCCCAGATGGGTCTTCTTCTTGGTACGGCGACGCGCCATTGTAAAGATTGGCGTGTCGTCAGGCGATCAAACTCGTGTAGGGTAGTCAACAGACGAGCTGTCTGTGATGAACCCTTTTGCAAGGCTGGTAGAAGGAGAAGGGCAATGGGTCGGTGTTGCAAAAAACTTTCGAGGGGCCTGTTCCGATAAGGACCCATAAAATGCGTTATCGGAAGCTCTTTGCAGGGTTCCCCCATTCATGACCCTTGGAGCCCCGCTGAAAATATTCCAGAGTGCCTTCTGACATTGATCTGCTTGTCACCTTGGATGACTTTTTGCTTCCCCGCTGGTCATGAGACTCGTTAGGATATAACCACCCAACATGACCGACGCTCACTCACAGAAGCGGCGAAAAACCAAGCACGGCGCGGCTGCTGCTGTTAAGCCTGCTGCTGCCATTTCCAAGCCCGCGCCGAGAAAAGAACAATCGCCCGAGCCCGCCCCGCCTGCCTCAACGACCGACGAGGCGGCGGCGGACCAAGATGACGCGCCAGTAGCCAAGAAGAGCTTCGCCGACCTGGTATGCTCTGACTGATCAGAAGAAAGGTTGATCGCAACTTGCTAACTCTGGATCCAGGGTGTCGTCGAATCTCTCGTCGAAGCCACCGAAGCTCTCGGCTACAAGCACCCGACCCCCATCCAGGAGAAGAGCATTCCTCTCGCTCTCGAAGGCCGCGATGTCATTGGCCTCGCGGAGACAGGTTCGGGAAAGACGGCTGCTTTCGCCCTGCCTGTACTACAAGCTCTTCTCGAGAAGCCGTCCGGCCTCTTCGCTGTTGTCATGGCCCCGACTCGTGAACTGGCAGCCCAGATTGCGCAGACCTTCGAGGCCCTCGGCTCCCTGATCAACCTGCGATGCGCCGTCATTGTCGGTGGTCTGGACATGGTGCAACAGGCCATCGCGCTGGGAAAGAAACCTCACGTCGTTGTTGCAACGCCGGTATGCACCTCTTGGCCGTGTGATCTCTCTCGTTCATTTCCCATGCTGACGTGACTCAGGGTCGACTGCTGGATCATCTCGAAAAGACGAAGGGTTTTTCTCTTCGTAGGTCTTTCTGGTCTGCAGCTGCAAAGTAACCTTCTGACATGCGATGCAGGCTCGCTCAAGTATCTCGTCCTCGATGAAGCGGATCGCGTAGGTTCAATCCCTCTCTACGGCCGCCATCCTCATATGCTCACTCGTATCCTCAGTTGCTCGACATGGACTTCGGCCCCTCAATCGACAAGATTCTCAAGTTCATTCCTCGTAGGTAGCGTTTGCTCCATCGGTGGTACCTTGTGACTGACCATAGCTTAGGCGAACGCCACACTTATCTGTTCTCCGCAACAATGAGCTCCAAGGTTGAGTCTCTCCAGCGTGCCAGTCTGAAGGATCCTGCCCGTGTCTCGGTTCAGTCCAACGGATACCAGGTCGTTTCGACGCTGCTGCAGAACTATCTTTTTATCCCACATGCGCTGAAGGATGTCTACTGCGTCCATCTCATCAACTCCTTCATCGGGCAGACCACAATTGTCTTCCTCCGTACAGTATGTGCTCTGGCCTGTTGCTCAAGGTAGAATCCGGCTAATGACTGTAAGGTTCACGACACACAGCGCCTTGCCATCCTTCTTCGAACCCTAGGCTTCTCCGCCCTTCCCCTGCATGGCCAGCTTTCTCAATCCGCCCGTCTTGGAGCCCTCAACAAGTTCCGCGCTGGCTCTCGCGACATCCTTGTCGCTACTGACGTCGCCGCTCGTGGTCTTGATATTCCCAATGTTGATGTCGTCATCAACTACGACCTTCCTCAGGATAGTAAAACTTATATTCATCGTGTCGGTCGTACTGCTCGTGCTGGCAAGTCGGGTCGCGCGCTCAGTCTCGTCACGCAATACGATCTCGAGATTTGGCTTCGCATCGAGGCGTCCATGGGGAAGAAGCTCGACGAATTTCCTACGGAGAAGGACGAAGTCATGGTGTTCCAGGCACGGGTCGAGGAGGCACAGAGGCACGCGAGGATTGAGATGAAGCACCTGATGGAGAACCGCGGCAAGAAGGGAGCCGTTCTGAAGGGCAAATTTGTTGGTGATTCGAAAAGGAGGCACGATGGCATGGATGCCGACGAGGGCTGAGGTGGGAGATAGGGGCGTTACGGCCTGACTTGGCGTTAAAAGACGGAGTTCGTTGTTTCCTCAATCAAGTGATTCAAATTTAACGATGTGAAAGTCGATCTTTCACATGCTACTGAGATCCACATCGAACAGTTGACCTTTCAGGATCAATCTCGGTCGCGAAATAATGCCTGCTAACAAGGAGTGAGGTGTCACAATTCATTCCCTTCATGGCCACAATTATCACGATTATCATGATGAAGGCGCCTGCTCTTTTAGCCCGTCGACTCAACCACAAATAGCTGTAACAAGAATAGGTAGGGGTTGTACCGTAGGCTGGTACGGGGGCTTTGCTCCAGTGAACAATTCTGGTCGCTGTGGAAAGCCAATGAGCTATTCGATTTCCTTTTTCCCGCTCGGGCAGACAGACCTACAGGGGTTGTGCGGGCAAAACACAGCAATCACCGCCGAAGGATTCGATGGCGCCGCTCTAGAACAGACGGATTTGGGCCCCTTTTCATTAGCTACGCCGTTATTGCCGGCCTGGTTCAAGGGGGGCACCCATCGTCAGCCTGAAATCCCAGACTTAGCCGACGAAGTGAAAAGGTAGCAAAATCAGTCGACTTCCCTCTTTTTCATTCCTGATCTTCATTCAGATTGTTTGCCATTCGTTCATTACTTTCGTAATCGCATCTGCGCTGTCACTTCTACGTTCTTTTCACGACACTCATTCACCATGGTTGCTTCTCACCTCAAGCTGGCCATCGGCCTGACTGCAGCTTCGAATGTTGTGGCATTCTCCTCGATTAGGATCGCGCCTACTGTCGAGGCAGGCAAGGAGGTCGAGGTCTCTATCGTTAACGACCTCGAGGACTCGGACTCTTTCGACGCTGGCTTCGAGAAGTTCCGTGTCTACCTCGCCACAACGCCTCCTGGCTGGGGCACCGGTCCGGCCTGTTACCTCGTCAACGCCACGGCCATCGACGAAACGAGCGTGAAGGTGACAATCCCGCCGTCCGTCGTTCCTCATGGCAGCGACGTCATGATCTCCGTCATGGAGTTCAATGAGGACCCGAGCCTCGACGGTCCGTCTGGTTTCCAGTACAGCAACGAATTCACTCTCAACGGTGGCAAAGGCGAATGGAGCAAGCCTGAGCTCGAAGGATTCAACATCGGTGACTCGGACACCATTCCCTGCGAAGCATATGCTTGCGCCAGGGATTGTATGGTCCAGTTTTATCCCGACAACAAGGAGGACGAGTCCGCATACAAGAAGACGTACGAGTGCACTGCCGAGTGCCCTGGCGTTGACTACCCTGCATGGGACTCTCTCCCTGGTGTTGATGAGGTGCCTTCGGACAATGACGGCGATGATGAGGGCGATGATGATGAAGAGACCGCTTCGATATCAGGTGCTACCTCGGGAACGGCAACTCCCAGCTCCGGGGCGGCTACGACGATTCTCACTACAACTGGAGCTGATGAGGCGAGCGCGTCGACAGAGACACCTAGCTCCGCCGGACGTCACACGGCGTCTCTCATGCTGCTGGCTGGAATCATTGGAATGTGCAGTCTTTTTTGATTAGCCCAGATTCTAGATTGGGGGACCGCGCCACGTCAGGATCTTGCTTCGTGAGCGATTAGCACTCATGTATTCTGCAACAGACAGGCGGACCATGCATCACTCACCACTGTACGTCTTCCTACTACATTGTCACAATCGGCAATGAGCCGTATGAAAATGGCAGACGATTATAGCTAGGGAACCTGCAATTCGCGTATCATCCAGCTTACATTTATCTAATCCTAATTCCATTTTGAGGCCTGTAATCTACCTCACTTACCTTGCAGCACCGGCGGCGTTCTCGAAAAGCGTCTTGCAACAACACAGCTCAGACTCTGTCCTTCCGAACCTTGCCGGAAGATCTCCCTCATAGACCAGTAATCTTTTTGATGGCCAGCACCAATGTGACTCCACGACTGAGTTATCCATCATTCATGATTTCTGCGCGGAAAGCATTGGTCAGCGCACCATCCATGCCCGCATTTGAGACAAACCGTCCATGGACTACCGCCTGACTGGCAATGGCAGCAGATCCACATACAAGGGGGTCCGAATGGAAAACAAGCTGGGTACGTCGGAAGGCCTCTAGGTCGAGGTTCAGCCATATCGGGCAGGGGCGCACCAGCCGGACACGGCGGGAGAAGTTCAGTTCTGGGGCAACTCGGGATAGCAGGAGCTGCCTTCAGAGGAGGTCGACAATCAGGGAGTGGATGTCGGCCATCGGGTCGCACACGTCGAGACTGGACTACAGGTTGGGCAAACTGCCTGAGAGCCTTGTTTTCGGTGGCTTTTCGAAAATTGGTGATCTCCCGGAGGAGATCGCCCCTCTCTGTGCCAACGTCAGGGGCCGAAGGGGTGCAGTCAGCGCACCACAAATGCCCACAGAGCTCGGCCACCTTGGGTTTAACCATAGCGCTACAGGTGGGATTCAAAGCTTTGTTGATTCGGCGATTACACTGGCAACAGGCCCAAAGACCTTTCTTTGTCGTACAATCATCGCACCGTTCGTGTGCGCAGGGCAGCTTGACCGCAGCGCGGCACGTTGGGGGCTTTTCCATAGTGAAGTGCTGTGTTATAAGCACGTCGCTGGCATTGGCAGCAAGTCCATTTCATCGCGGAGTAGGTCGGCATATTGGCGGAAGAACTCGGTCGGACTCGGGCGGGGTAAGATCCCAAGGTCGATTTTTTCTTCTTGCTTGTGGACTGGCTTGAAATTTTCTTGGGGTCTGTTGAGTGTTTCTTTGGGAAGTGCTTGAGATCTTGCAATGGGAAGGGAAACACATGGTATATTACCCATTATTCAAGCCTTCCGTTCGCTATGGATAAAGTGAATGTTTTAATGCTTGAATCTTTAACAATTTTGCTGTTTTCTTCTCAGTCCTGGTGAATGGAATACTGTGTTGCTCCCACCAGTACCACGTGTCGTGTTTAGAAACAATGACACTGGCACTGATCAATCCGAGCACTCTCAACACAACGCCGAACGGAGGAAGATAATCCTTCTCATTATCCTTCTCAGTATGCACTTCTGCAGCTTCATGTGAAGAATTATCAAGCTTCCCCGTTACACAATGGACTGGAAACAACTTCGCTTGATATAAAGTTCATGCCCAGCTATTTGTTGCTTGTCCATGATACAGTCGACCACTGTTGAGAGTTGTCATACTGATAACTTTAGCACATCACAACTTATCCCGGTGCCTGAACAACCATGGTGCGACACCTACTTACCGTGAGAACGTTATTTGATAGGACACTTATGGTTCCTTTGCTACTTTCGCTACCAGACAAAAAAAAAGAAAGCTATGCGGTAGCGACTGCCCAGCAGGATTTGCATCTGACTGAAGGGCGAAAGGGGGAAAGACATCTTTGTGCGGAGCCTTGGGCTGCTATTTTGATATCTTCGAGACAACAGACTCAATCTAGCAATGGCCAATCGCCATGTTGTATCCCTCCAATATCTAGACTGCATATGGTCGTCATGCTGCTTCGTCTTCGATTTCCAAGTCTCCTATGCGGAACTTTTGTCCTTTCATATCTGCATAATCATTGTGATTGTGATAACTTCTCACTCTCTCTCTAACATATTGAAGACCTGTGACTGGCGCCCTGGCTTTGTAGTCATCCTCAATCAAACCCAGCCTCTTCAACAGTGGCGATGGTGCTGGTTTAATGTCAACGTCGTCTCCCGGGCGTACGAAGTAAAAAAGACCTTGACGATGGAGATGCGCCTGGTCTTGAGGCGGACGAACAACCCGATGTGTTGTTGATTTGAGATATCCTGCAGACCAGAAATCGAGCGTGTCGCCGACATTGCATACTATGCCGTTGTCAACAGGCGGCACATGCCGCCATTCACCAGATACGGTCTTGATTTGTAGGCCCGCAACGTCCTGACTCCACAAGAGTGTCAGAGAGCCTAAGTCAGTGTGGGCTCGCGACCAGGTGTTCTGAACACGCGCATCATCTTCAAGGGGCCGAGGATGATAAGTCATATACCGCAAATGGTCTTCACTGGGCGATTCGTAAGCATGGCGGGAAGAGAAGTAATCGTCTGGCAACTCAAGGATGATCGAGAACAGAGTCAAGACCTTGCTGGCCAAGTCGAGGGACTTCTGAGTCTGGATGTCAATGGTGAAAATTGAACTTTTGTGGCAGAACTTACCCTCGAAAAGCTCTCAATCTCGGCTTTGAACGGATGGAAGAATGGATGAAATGGTTCCTTGGCATATTGTGTAATGAACTTGGCTATGTTCACGGATTCGGCATTGTCTAGGACGTCGGTTCCCATGATCGTCTTTTCGTGCGCAGCACGCCAACTAAAGTAGTTGCCTTGAGAAAAGTCACACCGGTATTCAGGTTGTCCTTTGTCCACTGTTTCAAGGCCGAAAAAGCTTTTAGCAATGTCATACTGCCTCTGAACTTCCTCTGGGTTGAAGCCTGTGTTGATCAAGCTGAAGAAACCTGTTGAATGAACCTTTTCTCACGATCTCTGTCAGTAGCAACTTGAAGGATATATGAGATGGATTCTCACAGCGTCTCGCAGTTCCTCCGCAAGTTCTTGTTTGCCGCCAGGCAGGTCGAACTTCTGCAAATCAATGGTCTTGATATCAGCCCAGGGCAATTTGTTCTTTGTCTTTTCTGGCCGCTTCCATTTCGGAAGGACAAGAGTACCATTTGATTTGACAGCCGCGGACATATCGAAGATATTCGCACAAGATGAGGAGTACATAGAATGGTTTAGAGGTTCGACTTGCAGTGTGCGTCTTCTTGGTCGAATGTTATAATGTATCTTCTCAGCATCGGGCTCACCCCGCATCTTACACCACGACATCATGCATGACGATGATGGTAAGGGGCACGACGGTCAGCCTAGGCCAGCGGGATCGGCCGGGCACGCCATTCATCTCCAACATGACGATCGATTGTGGTTCCCCGCACCAGGACACCTCTTTCGACAACACCTCAGAACATACACCAAAATCTATATTCAAGACCGGGCACCTAAGTACCTATTTCAATGGACCAATTCCAAGGCTTTGACAGTGCTGAGGCTGGAGGGGTGGCCCACATAGAAGTCCCAATGACGAAGATACTGGCTAACATCATTGGTTTAAAGGGTATCATATAAGCATGTCAGTGTCAGTGCCCAAGACAAAACTACTTTGGCATGCTGGCTTGTCGATTCTTCTTAGGACTTGCAGAGACAGGCTTCTACCCAGGAATGCTGTAAGTTCAGTCGTATGACATGCGCTTTTGCGCTGACCAGAGGGCTTGGAAAGATACCATCTAAGTTTCTGGTACCCAACGCATGAGGTGCCGTTGCGGATTGCAAGCCGAATAAAGCTGTGGGTTGAATTGTTTGTGTTGAGGCCGCAGTAGGTATTTTCCTATGTTTGCGGCACCATTTTAGCACTGTCAGCAGCCTTTTGGGTACATCGAATGCACTTTGGTTGCGTGTAAACGGCCAATTTCCCTACAACATACGTGTATCCTTCATGAGCGGCATCAGTTGGGCATCGCCAACAGCCATTTCGCAAGCCATGATCATGGTAGGTTGTTATGTATCCGGGTCTGTGTTGTCGAGCGCTTCGCTCATACCCCAGGTGGTCAGCCTCCTTTCACCCTCGTCTTCATCATTCTGATGTCGCTAGCGTACATGTCTATCGTTCATCGTGGGAAGCTGAGTCCGTGGGTGGCTGGGCTCAGCGTCGAAATGACGCAGGTAGTATGCTGTATTCTTCTCATCACAGTTTCGCATCCAGTGGCTGAGTAGGTCTTTGTCATGGTCGCGACGGCGGCGTCGCAAAGCTTTTTCCCGATAATTTGGCCAGATATGGAGTGAACCCTTTGAACCCCCCGTTGTCCCATCCGCTCCTCGCTCTCTGTAGCCATGTGACTGGGGCTATGCGCCGATGACTCGGCCAAGCTCCGAAAGTGTAATGACTTGGCTGATCGACGCACGCAGAGCGGATCCGCGCAGCGAGGGGCACAACATCGGCCGGCTTGGCGATCGGCATTACCAACGTGAGTAGAAGGCATATGGCCCTAAAGAATCTCGCGGGTCAATTGACCTGCAGAACGGGCTGACGTACGCAGGCGTCCTGTCAACTGATGGGCAACGTCGTGAGTTCCGCCGCGCTGAGGCCGGACATCTGGCAGAGCTGGAGCCGTGAATTGGGTAAACTGGACGCACTAGGCCTCCCTGCATGGTGTGTACTAACATTGCCCGAAACAGGGGCCTTAAATTTACCAGCCCAAACTTGAACCGACATACCGGGTCAGCTTCTCCACCTCGATAGGTTTTTCGCGTGGCACTGTGGCGGCCGTTGGGATGTCCTGGTTCTTCGTCGTGCAAGGAGACCCGGAGAGGGCTTCGGTGGCCGCGGCTTCCACCGGTATTGATGAGCCGGGCAGTAACGGATCGGACACGAACGCGGTGGACACCTGTGGCGCCGTGCCTCGAAGCCAAGAACCTGCTTGGGAAAAGTCCTAGATAAATCTTTGGCACGTTTCGACGAGTACGTAAAATTACAAGTGGGCCCGGAAACGAAAGAAAATCGATGCAGCCTAGGGGTTAAAGTGCACTCTTCAGAGGAAGCGAAAGTAGAGGTTCTACGAGATGCTCTCTCAGTCGCAGCACGGGAAGGGGTCCAAGTCTTCGACACGCCCGCAGAACAGAGCTCTTAGCACGACCATGACGATGTTGTTAATATCCTCAAGCTTGGCAGTTCAGTAAGGTTATTTCACCACTGCCTAGGTTGTAAGGAGTTGCTTTTCTTTCGGTTGGATAGCGAACACAACCTACCTTACGGTAAGTAACCGTACATGCTAGGGACGAGACATACTGCTTAATGCCACCGATTACACTACCAACCGAAACCAGCGGGGAACGTGTCGACAGGGCTGAGGTGGTCGGGACAATTGAGTCTGTTTAGTGGGGTCGCTTGGACGCGGTGGCCAGTCAAGCCAGTTCAGAGTTCCTGGAATGAGAGTGTTCGGTCCAGGTGCTCCTCGACTGTGATGATTGCAGGGCCCTAGCTCGCTCGGCAGCTGTCCAACGAGAACAAGAACAACATAGCATATGCATTGGGACTATGGAGCATGCCGGCGGTGACCAAACTTGACTGGAACCTAGACGAAAGGGACTCGTGGTTCTTTCTCGTCGTGAGTCATCCCTGTCGATAGAGCGTGGTCTTCCGGCTTGGCTCTCTCGAACCCACTGAATTCGCAGCTCTAGAACGGTCGCTGGATCTCGTCGAAAATTTTCACCCTGTTTTTCTGGGAGAGTCTTATGCGTTTAAGGCTATTGCCGGCGAGAAGCAGTGCTTATATGACAAACGAGGATTCTCAGTCCAAGTCCACGTCACCTTCCAAGACCGCTTGCCCACGTAAGTGCTGTGAGTCGTGACCCCCGATAACTCACACGACATTGGGCATGTTGGCCGTTTTGGCGGTCACCTGTAGTGACTATGTTATGACTGGCGTAGCCGGATGTCGGCTGATAACGACCTTGGTAAGGCTACTGTAGTGCTCTGGGCGCAATGTGATTGATTGATACGTCGTTCCTGGGCCTAGCGCCTGTCTGCTAGTACTTACGGACAGTTACGATCGGTAAATCAGGGTGCATTCAGTGCATCAGGAATAGAGCAACGATACGCGAGAAAGCTAAAGGAAATATGGAGACTGCTAAGTGTGTCGCGCACCGATCTAACATGGGCATGTACTACGTACCTGGCAAACGTCCTGTAGGAACCCCGGCCAGTCGCTCTACGTGCCTGGAAAGCTATAGTTCCCGGATGTAAAGTTAAGCCGCGCCGGGACCTGGGTTGAGTCTCTGCAGGGTGACGTAGGTAGGTAGGTCGGTACTGTAAGTAGGTATCTGTAAAAGTAGGTAGGTACGGTACCTAGGTAACCCAGAGCATGCCAGTGCCTGCCCCTCAGCTGCAGTCGACCCACCTAGGTACCTTGAACCCCTGATGGTGGGTGGGTGGGTTTGCCAGCCCCTCCTCACCTATTTCCCTGGTCACCGTTGCCTTCATTGTGCCTTGGCTGCTTGGAGCTTGGATGTCCCTCTTAAGCTACAACGCTTGAATGCTTCCAATCGCCGT